CAACAAGAAGTTTAACGCGCGCACACACACACACACACACACACACACACTTGAGTTGAGCATTACTTGGAAATTCTTATAACTTTTTGGTCTTTGACCCATTTTGTCATTTTCTCGATTCGATCGTCACTGACCACTCTCTCCTGTCTGGCAGACATCGTTGCTGCCATCATAGCTAGCAAGCTGCCTGCAGATAGCAACATTTTGGTGTCCTTTGTGAAAATATTTAGATAGAAGACAAAAGTGCACAAAGTTGTACAATTATTATCTTTTCAAAATATTTGTTTCACTGTCAGTGTGATTGACCGACTTTGCCGCTAGATTTCGTGTCTTTTGGCCATACCTGGCTAGCGACTAAAAACATCATTTAGCGACTTTTTGGTTGTGAAGATAAGTGGTAAAAGCAGATCTGCCTGTTGGTCTTCCCACATTTTGCCATTTGGTACTTTGCACTCTTGTTGGTCACTCCAAGGCATTTGTCCCTGCCTTCAGCTAGTCACTTGGCTCTTTTGGAATATGTTTCACTGTAATTGGCTCTCTCTCTCTTTCTCCTCAGAACAAATCAGTCTGTTCCCTTGCCATTTAGACATTTTCTTGATTCGATCATCACTGACCACTCTGCTCTCCTGCTGTCTATCAGACGAATCAGTTGATTCTCTGCTCTCAATTGTCTATGCTAGTAAGCTGTTGTTCTCTGCTTTGGAGTGTTGATGCTGGGTTGCTAGTTTTTCTAAATCACCTCACACACTTGAAGGAAGCAGCACCGATCATAAACACACAAACAAACTCACACACACACACACACACACACACACACACATAGTTGGTTTATCTGTTGTGATAGGCAAAGAGCCAATGTGCAAAGAAAGAAGGGAAATATGGATCATAAACGTTTAAGTGGAGGAGCTAGAAAAAAAAGGAATCAGTTTTACTTGAGAGTGTTCCAAATATCTCCAGCTTTTTCAGTACAAAGACATCTGCTGAAAGCAATTCTATAAATGCTACTGCAAATTCAGCTAAGGTTAGCAATGCACCTGAGCTAGCATGTAGCTCCCAAGATCCTGAGACCACTACAAGTGTAGACACTGAACCAAATGCTTCTGATGCTTATGATTCAACCAATTCAGCAGTAGCCAGTTGCTCGGATGAATGTGAGGTCACTGCACCTCTGGACAGCATAGAAAATGAGCTGAATCTTTCTTCAACACCATCTACGGTGACAACTCTACCTAGTGATCCCGCTAAATGGGCTGAGACCCTCACTGAGTCAATGAAGGAAGTTCTTATTCGGTTTAATATTTCTAAATAAAGACTTAACTGATGCACACTGAAAATGTGAAAGTTCATGTTGCCTAAATGAACACATGCACTCTGCAACACTTTGAGACACTTTTTTTTAATGTAAGTGGTTGTTCATTTCAAATTGGACCGAATAAGTCAGAAAAAGCCTAAATATCTTGTGTGAACCACTGTCACATGTTACCACAGATAGCAAAGAGGAGCGCTGCTAGCTTGATGCTTATGCTAACAGTATTTTTATTATGCATCTGAAAACTGTTTTTTGAGGTTCAGTTTGAGAGGCCTTCCGTGTCAATATGATTAATAACTATCTATGCTGGTCTACAAGTTTCTTAATAATTGAAAAATGGTTAACCTCATTAATAAGAAAGATCTGTTCCTGCACAACAGCTGTGAAAATGCCAAAGAACGCTCCTGAATGTGGAAAAAATATGGAAAAAATAGCAACTTTGTGGAAAAACACATTAAAATGTGAGTCAGTAATCTAAAAGTTAATAAGCGATAGCTGAAAGTTTTTTTCCCTCCAAAAAAGCGGCTTGTGACATATTTTCCTGTGTTACTGGAGACTGGTGAATCCAGATGAAAGATGCAAGACTTGGCAGTTACTGTCCTCAGAAAGCAGCCATTTTAAAGAAGCCCCTCCCACTTCTCACAGACACTCGGTCTCACAGGAGCCTGGTGCAGCAAAGCCACCTGCAGCCAGAGAGAGGAGAGCCACTCCACTCTGAGTCCACTTTGCAATTGAACCACACATGCACAAAAGTACTACCGATCTACTCTGGATGAATACAGTTTTAATGCAAATTGTAGATCCAAATGAGGTGGTTAGGTCACTTAGCAACCGTTAAGACAGCCAGTAGCCACTTTCCTTACTGAGGAGTTGGTAGCAGTGGTGTGTGTGAGTGTGTGTGTCAGTTGGAACAGCTCTCTCTGTCAGTTATTCTGCTATGAAGAGTCAGTAAGTCTGGACGAAAGATGGCTCAAATCTCTGAGCTTCGCTGAAAACTGGAACTCAAGGTGTCCATGTTTTTACACCAACGGAGCAACAGGACTTTGCTGATTATAACGGAGTTTCATTTGTCTTTCTAAGAAAATAAATTGAACAAAATTAGAGCATATTTAATGGCTGTCTTTTCAGGTTTTGGGGCTCAAGTCTTCTCCTTGGTTGAGCTGCTTTCTGTTGGGCAGCTGGAAAGTATCTCTTGACTTTGAAGGCTCTGGTTTAAAAAATTAAACCTTGAATGCTGTGAAAGTTACAATGTGAGAAAGAGGATAAGTTTTACTCCATTTTTTTTTTTTTGTAAAAATAATTTCAGTGAGTTAAAGATTGTGGACACAGTTGCAGTATTAAAAGAAATCTAAAGGATTTCCATCCTTTTCTCCAGTCAGTTGGAAGCGGCACTTTGTACCAAAGTTCTGTACCGTAGGAGTCCATTCCACACTCAGAAATGACAGATGGAAGAATTTTGAGTATAAAAAAAAAAAGCATAAAATACTATAAGGAACTGATACACATAAAAATAGCTCAACACTTTGAAACCATTGTTAAAGTTGAATGGTGTCTGAAATTATGCTGAAGTAATAAACTTTGAAAGTGGTAAAATGTTTTGAAAGATTTGAGGGATTCTTCATTCAAAAATTTAAAAAAGGTTAAACGTTTCAAAAAGTTAATATTTTAACACCAAAAGAAACACAAGAAATGTCCTGAATGAGGCACAAATTTAAAGACTTTTCTTCTTGAAATGATGGTAAGAATAATGTACAGTATTCTCTCTATAGTGGGTTGGGGGCTAGAGGGGGGGTTTGGCCCAGCCCAGAGGAAAACTTTTTTGCTCAGGATAGTCTTTTCTTGATCTCTCAAGACAGTACGGAGATCTCAATTGAATATCTTTATGAGATTTCTTCAATCTGAATTGTGTATGTTTTTGAGATCACCTCAATCTGAATTATTGCTCCTAAACCCCCCCTTAGGAGCAAAATTGAGATATTGTGAGATTGACTTTTTGAGACTTGTAGGAGAAATGATAGTCATAGATAAGATCTCATCATTGCATCTTTTTTATTTAATTCATGTCTTGCTTATTGCTCCTAAAAAGCGGGTTGGAGCACTAAAGAGTTAAAATACAGATCTTAATTGCCTGTCTTCTTGAGATCACCTCAATCTGAATTATTGCTCCTAAATCACACCTTGGAGAAAAACTGAGATCATAGGAAATCTCAGGATTCCATCTTTATGATCTCATTCATGTCTTACTTATTGCTCCTAAAAAGCCAGGAGGAGCACTAAAGAGTTGTAAGACGGAGCTCAATTGCTTCCCTTCTTGAGATCACCTCAATCTGAATTATTGCTCCTAAACCCCTCCCCTTAGAAGAAAAACTGAGATAATGTCAGAAGGACTTTGAGACGAAGGTAAGAGAAAATTGAGATTAAAATGGAAGCAACTGTGAAAGAACTGCAGCCTCATTTATTTTGCATTAATTCAACACGCATACCAGTGTGCATACCATTTTACAAGAGTGAACCAGGCCATACATTGTAAAAGTGACAGCAATCACATTATCCCAATTGAGAACCACTGGTGTAACAGCATGTCAATAAACACAACTTCACAACTGCTGAACAAGAGGGCCAGTCACTGTACTGACCTGTGACGGCATTTATTTATGAGGGCCTTTTTAAGCTTGGCCTCCTCTACTGGTTTCCAGTTCTCCATCGTTGCGCACCGCCTCACATAGGCTGCAAAAAAAAAAGAGACTTAAATTAGTTTGATATTTTCCTAGCATATTTATATTATATATTTATATGTATTTATTTATTTAGCATAGACCGGGTATGGTTGAAACACTTTTTGCTCCAGCACCTGTAACTCACAGAATTTTTGAGCTAGAGTTTTCAAACTTTTATACAAAATACCCACATTTGTCTACTACAAATGGCACCAATTCAAACCTCTGCAAGAATATCACAGACCTCATGAGTTCATGTCAAATACATGGTGTTCCTTTGTTACAACCTACCCCACTACCGAGGTAGGTTGTAACACCTGCTGGGGTAAGTTGTAACAATTAGACAAAAGAAGCAAAAACAGAGGCCACACCATGTGATATGCTTCAAAAAGAGGTTTACTGAATTAAAAGAACAATACAAGAACAATGTTTCTCTTTCTGTGACTGACCATAACTCAAATATACTCTGTTTATGTGTGTGCATGTGTGTAAATTATTCTACTAGAACAAACTTCCTTAACATGCATGATGTATGCTTAATGAACACTGAACAAACATGTAGATCTAACAAAAAACAATGTCAATGTGTGTGTTTGTGTCTATGTGTGTGTATCCTTAATCAGAGTCACAGTGATGACAAATGAATGATGATAGCCCAGGAGTGCAGGCTTGGTGGGCCCAGAGACTGCATAGGGCACATTTTAACCACACTTCCTGTGGCTTTGAGTTGCCAAATGGCTCCATACAGACAACACAAAAATATTCATTGTCTGAGGTCTCAGAATCCTCAGCATTTGCTTTTAACATTTTCTTGGCAGGCTTTCTCTCCTTCCTCTTTTGCTTGCCTTTATTCTTTGCAAAGAACCTCTTCCTTACATTTTTGCTTCCTCTTCTCTGTTCTTCTTCCACCAGTGCTTGTTTCACTGGTGTGTCAGTGAGAATTTCAGATTTCTTTTTCTTCCTGATCCTGCCAGTTGTTTTCCTTGGCCCTGCTTTTGGAAATGGCCGCATAGCCAAAGGATTGAATGCCTGACCAGGAGACACCCCCGAGGTGCTTGGCTCATCTGGAGCACAGGACATGGTCACATCATTAACTGGAGAGGAGCCAGAAGTAGTAGTCTCCAGCTGAGTCGGAGGAGAGGAGGCAATCCCCAGGTGTGTAGGTGGAGACTGCAGCTGGAAAGCTCCAGATGTCAGTGATGTACCTGGGTCGGGACGGTCAGTGACTTGTGAGGGTGCATAGTCACACTCCTCAAAAATGTCAGGATTGAAGGGCCAAATACCTGTGGATTGGAAACCAGCTTGAATGTTTTTCGGTGTTGCAGCTGCAGGCAGAGCAGTCTTCACAATACTTGGAATATCATATATCGTCATCGTCTTGGCTGGATTCATCTTCATCCAGGCATCACTTGCAGTGTTCACCATTTTCTTAAATGGGCCGTAGACACTGCGATCCAGTGGCTGAAGTTTATGGCTACAGTGGGGGGGAAGGTAAGTAGCACTATTCCCTTTTCTTTGCAGAAATCAATAACTTTAACAGATATATGTGAACAGTGACTGTCCAGCAAAAGTAAAACCTTCTTCTCTGGGCTCACCTTTGTGTGTTTTGCAAAATGAGCAAGGAATAAGAGGAAGTCTTCCTCTTGCATCCATCCTGAGGCATTACCACTTCCTGCACTCCCTGTTGGCCCACTCTGAATGAAGAGTTCCTTGTAACGTTTACGGGGGAATACAAAGAAGGGAGGAATTGCATTTCCCAGCGCTTGCACAGCGCATGCTACTGACACAAGCACACCTCTCTCACCTGATGTCATCGCACCCACCTGCTTGACACCACGACGAGCAACAACACGGTCTGGTGACTGGACTGTTGTTACACCAGTTTCATCTACATTCCATATATCGCTCCCCGTCGAAGTTGTATCTCTCAATGACCTGTCCAAGGCTGTTGAAAAAACCTTCCACATTTGGGCGGTTAAAACTTGTGGCCCGTGTAAGGCTGGTTGCCTCAGGAGTCCTTATTGACAGGCTAGGGTTCCGCTTCATAAATAATGTGAACCAGTCAGGCCCTGCCATCTGCTTCTCATCCCATGTCTGTGGATGTTTGATGTTATATGTTATTGCCAGTTGATATGCAAACTTTCTGACCTAAAAGAAAGAGGAATAGAAAATTAGAGTACATAGACACAAAAAGTTTTTAAATTTGTCTAGCACCTACGCTGGTATTCAATTCTTCTCTTGTCTCCAGTGACTAACCAGTCATATGCTTACCTCACGTGGGGTCAGTCCATAATACAGGTCTGCTGCCTGAGTCAAATAGTCAGCCAACACGTCCTCCTGCACCTCAGGGAAAACTTTGTTGCTGCTCCAATAACCTACATTGGGAAGATCACTGGACCCCTGTTCTCTCAGCTTCTGCAGTGATTTGCAGTATCTGCTCAGTGTTACATGGCAGATCCCATGCGCCTTCGCAACTGATCTGACTGACTTGCTCTCCTTTGTGACCTCATTAGATGCCTTTTTTAAAACATTTGCAGGCACACCTCTATCAGTCTTTCGTATCCACTGCCTAGGCATTCTGTAAAATTGTTAAAATCAAAAGGTTGTATGTAAGGGGATGGTTGTAACACTTTTTAAAGATGTGTTACAACCCACCCCAACCCTGTCAGCCATGTTTAGCTAGCTGTAGTAGCAAAGTGGTTTGAAATTAGCATGGGAAAATGCATCACATTTTGCCTGAGAAACTACACTTTCATCTAATGTAAGTCATATGGTTTTATCTGCAACAGTATAAGTACCAAACAAAATATAGTCATGGTCAAAAAATGTACTTTCATGTGCCTGTTTCCAGCCTTGACAATCACAATATGGGATTGGGGAGGAAGCGGGCAAACACTGATATGATCATGTGACTCCTATCTTATCCCTGATTGGTGTGAATGGTGCTGTTACAACTCTCCCTATGTTACAACCATACCCGGTCTCCCCTACATTATTATGTTCATTCAACTATCTGTAAAATTACATTTCTATATAGCAATGGTTCCATCTAAGTGTATAATGTTTTTGATTATTAACATAAAAGGAAATGATGACTAGTGGCAAAGAAAACATTTAATATTAGGAATATTAAATGATGAAATAAATTGATTTTAAAAGATATGGCAAAGACTCAGCTATACATGACACAAGTACAGGTAATTTTTTATCCATCTTGTGCATTTCCACCATGCAAATATCCCTGTATATATGTAGAGTGTCCTTGCACATTCACAACCTGGAAGAACCTTTTGACTCACATATATCGAGAACACAGAAAACTAGAAACAGCAGTTGCTCAATCATCTACATTCAAATGTCAGACGTGTGGGTGTGAAGAACTTTCAACAGAGAAAGATTACTTCAGTCATACTTATCAACATCTTAGAAAGTATGAAAATGTAACTTGTATGTTTGAAGGATGCGCATTTCAGACACGTATGAGACCCAGCAATACATTTTTGTCCTCTGTGGAGCACATAGGTTTTTTGTTCATAACTCTGAAACCATACATGCCACTGTGTTAAATCCTGTTGGTCCTTAAAGAGGACATCCTGGGCTCTCCAATGATATGACATGTGTGGGGGTGATTCTTCAAAATGGCTGCCATCCGTGTGAGCACATTTTATCGAAAGTAGAAAGGTAAGTATATTATTTTCTAATTATGAGCTCTGTGAGTTTAATATTCAGATTGCTTCTAGTAAATGATCATCTAAGGAATAGTTAGGTGAATTTTCAGAGCAGTTTAATTATTTGTTGGCATAAAACATAACCTGTTTATGTGTGTCGTCCATAGAGGACATCAGGATTTGCTTTTTATTTTTTAACCTGTTTTTATAGAAGTCAGCTCACTGACTGAGGCAGAGAAAATCCTTAACAGGATTACTGATGGAGACTCAGACATAGATTTGTCAGATGAGGAGGACCAAGAGGGACAGATTGACGGTGATTTTGAGGTCGGGAGTTCAGAGGATGAGGCATCACACTGCAAAAAAGGAATTTCAAGAAAGTAAAAAAGCCTTGTATCAAGAAAATAAGTCGAATTTTTTGTCCAAAAAGAATATTAATCTTGTCAAGCATGTTTTGCATTGGAAAAAATAATCTAATTTTAAGAAAGCACGGCTAACTTTTTCTTAATAAGATATTCCAGCTACTTTTGAGCTAGAATACACCAGTAACAGGATATAGAAATGTTTTACAATAAAACTCAGTGGACCAACAAGATTATTTGCCTCATTTTAAGAGTAAGACCACTTGTACAACTTCTTAAATTAAGAATGCCAAGAAAAATTAAAGGTTGTTTATTTTCATATGTGTTCCCAGGCCATCTGAACCTGGCAGAACCAGCTACTTCATATTTAACATATTAAGATTACATCAGGCCATCAGGCTGGCCTATACAACAACTGTTTTATCATTCAGATTAAAGTTATTTTGATACATAAAAAAAAGAAACAATTATGAAACAAAAAAAACAACAACACATTAAACAGTGTGCATTTTACAGTTCATCAGACAAGGCTCTGTGTAGCCCCAAACACATCTACAAGATAATATTTCGTAGGAACATATGTCACATCCTTGTGAGTATAACTGTAATATGGAGTGAAATCTACCAGACTATCAGCAGTTATTAGTTCAGTTCCTTGTGCCATGTTTGGAATCTCTATTGTATATGCCATGTAATTTCTATCATAACAAACAGTATTATGCTGCTGGAACTCAAAACAATATAATGATGAGTTAATTACATAGATATTGCTCACAAGTCCAAATTCAGGCAAATCATTGGAATTAACAGAAGTCAGAAGTAATGTCTTCTCCTGTATGTATTTATTACCATTTAGATTAATCCATTT